GCAGGGTGCTGTACATACCTTCCTGAAAAACATCACTGCACCCTGGTGCAAGCAGTGGGTTGGCTCATGGGAGGAGGTATGCAAATATAATGTCTTAATGTGTGGGTGGAAATTAGTTCATGGGCAGACTGTATATGCAGATCACTGTACACGTGCTTATATGCGTGTATGTGGTGCTGAGCATCCATGATGGAAATAAATTAACTCTAATGAATGAAAGGGACAGATCAGGGACAGAAGGGCAGGGGAGGAATATGCTAGATGATGCCCAATATCCAGTGGCAGACCTAAGGAACAAAGGGCCCTGGTGCAAGCCGCTGGGACACAGAGCAGCACCTAGCGGGGAGGAAAGAAAGAATGGATGCGCTGCTGTATCGGTAGCAAAATGGCACTTTCGGCATTTAGCCAAAAGTGCAATTTTCGTCCGATAAGTTTTGACGGCCTATATATCGGTGCGTCCCTAATATTTACAGCAATGCAGAATGGCACAGGCTATAGAGGAATTCACATCCCGGCAATACTTTATATAAGAATAGCATTTCTGTATAAAGTACTGCTGAGATTTGCAGTCCTCTATAGAGGGTGCCATTCTTCATTGCTTCAACACCTGATCCCTGGAACGACCAACAAGCGCAGACTCCCATCTCTCAGGCTGTCAGAATATGCATACAAAGCGTGTCGGTAACTATTTAAACCGGCACACTGTGTGCAGCTTCTGAGAAGATACGCTATTCGCGTAGTGGGGAAGCCGGCTGCGCATTTTGCATTGCTCGCGCTACGCTAATAGCGTATCTTCTCAGAAGCTGCACACAGCGCGCCGGTTTAAATAGTTACCGACACGCTCTGTATGCATATTCTGACAGCGTGAGAGGCGGGATGCTGCGCTTGTCGGTGGATTGGATGAGGTGATTATTAAAAAAAAAAGTTTTATTTTATGTTCCTGGGACATTTAAATAAAAAATGTTTTTTAAAAATGGTCCGGGAACATAAAATAATAAAACCTTTTAAAATGTCCAGGGATTTTATTTAAAAAATGTCACCTTACCTTAGCCTGGTGGTCAGTGGGACTCCCTGGGCCCTGGTTGTGGGGGTCTGTTGTGGCCGCAGGTGCTCCATCCCTCTGCCGCCTGGAGTGTCAGCCGACACTCCCGGCGCAGAGACTGGGCGACCGCTGGATACCGATTCGGTGCAATCCGGCGGCCGGCAACTGTGCTGGGCACCCCCAGGCTGAAGCCCCAGTGCGGCCGCACCAGCTGTAGTTCCGCTACTGCCAATATCCTTCAAACTGGAAATTAGGCAGGCTCTATTTGACTTGCTGCAGCTTCTAATCCACATTGTAAAAAGCTTGCAGTGTTCAGTGAAATCAGAGTAAGTATTTTCAGTACAGGAGAAGAGCCTGTGCAACTGTGCAATACTGAAGGGAAGGCTGGCATTCAGCTTTCAGAAACTTTAAAAATAATTCTGGAAATTTGTGACGTTCCATACCTATAGGTATATACAGTATATTGTTAGTAAAGCCATTCATTCCTTTAAAATGTATGGCCCTAATTGTAATATGGTGTGTGCCTCTGGTCCATTGTTATAATTAATTTTGGGTTACTGAACCTTCCCCCACTCTTGAGGAATCGTACGTATGCCTTTCTTTGGTAGTAGTGTTCATAGAGCATTATTATATACAGATTGTTTGACTGTGATGTCAGATTTCCCCAGCAGGTAGTATGCTGGGCTTGGTGAAAAGGGGATATGGGTAACAAAGATATTGTTTGTATTGTTCATAGAAGGTTCAGAAGCTCTGGAATATATTATATTTGGCTTGAAAACATTGCATGTTTTCATAATTGTTTCTAAACCTTTTCAGTTATACATGAAACACAATCTACCTTTCATTTATTCTCATTTATTATGATTTATATGACAGGTTAATCATTGCCTTGGTATTGCATGAATGCCACTTGATTGCCCTGCATCAGCGTATACAATCAAACAGAAAAGCTAGCTGATAACCTTATAGTTATGTTAATCAGAGCCTAATTCCCATATAACAATTGCACATAACAAGTGTGTCATCAAAATATGAGCTCTGTTTCATCATGATTAATACTATTGAAAAAAATATATTGAATATATGGAAATAGTCAAAAATTCATGCTGATAATCTGTTTATTTTCACTTGTATAACTGAGACAAAAAATGGCCACCTACATAGTTACATAGTTACATAGTATTTGAGGTTGAATAAAGACATTAGTCCATCAAGTCCAACCTATTAGGATCTCATTCTAGGAGTACCCGTACCTCTAAAAAGGAAGGGAGACAACAAGTATTCAAAAAATCAAGCACTCAATATATCCCAAACAGTTCAAATCCCAATTTTTTACGCCACTTAGCTCCCAGGCAATTTGTTCTCCAAGCCCTGTGTGAGCAAGCTCAAAATGAGTGATGCACTAGTTTATAATACACCTGCTCAATGAGAGACACCTGAGCTCAATTAACCCCTCCCCCTAACAAGAGCACTGCAACCTGGGGGAAAAAAAAGGGAACAGTTTAAAAAAACTGACAGAAAAGGAAAAAGAGTTTTTAAATACTAAAAAAGGGTCTAAAAAGGAAGGGAGACAACAAGTATTCAAAAAATCAAGCACTCAATATATCCCAAACAGTTCAAATCCAAATTTTTTACGCCACTTAGCTCCCAGGCAATTTTGTTCTCCAAGCCCTGTGTGAGCAACCTACTAAAGTAAAGGACCACCATTGAGTCTTGGGAGGTAGGAAGGGCTAGGCCAAGCTCAGTCTTCCTCACTTTTCTAGAAGATGTGGTTTTATGGGGGCTTGTGCCCCTATTGTGAGGATTTCCAACCCCATTCCTGTGCTGTCTGGCAACCAGAAAATAGACAAGGGGTGGGGAAAAACCTTATTGGGGATACAGACAGCGATAAAATGTAGACAGATTTTCTAAAGCACTATTGCTCCCAAACTGTGGCCCTTTAGTACTTACTGTGTGGCCCAGTATTCGGCAGTGTTACTGGGAGCATTATTTATTGCAGGTTCTATTATAGCACCGTCAGGCAGCGCTTTAAATACTGTACAAAAATAGATAGATGACATTGCTGAGCCTGATGAAGGGGACACTGCGTGGCCCCGAAAGCGCTAGTTTTGGTGACATGACGTTCCAATAAATGACCTTTTTGGACTTCGATATTGTTGGTGTGCTAGTGACATCTATCTATTTTTGTACTGAGTGGCGGCGCCATCCGCGGTCACTGCGACCACCTCCCCCCTTATCCAATTTTGTTTTTTTTCTGGTAAGTGCGATAAGGTATCTTTTTCGTTAGATACTGTACATTCACGTCACTCCCTGTCCTCAAGGAGCTTACAATTAGCGATGTGCATGGGCTTGGTGTGAACTGAGTTTGCCCGAGTGTGTGTAGAACTGTCAGTGAAATGCCCCACAGCTATATGTAACAAGCTGAAACTGATTGAGCCAGAAGGGGGGTTTGGCACAGGCATAAGTAAACTCACTAGTTGTCATCTTACATGCACACATACTAGGGCCAAGTTAGACAAGAGCCAATCAACCTACTGGGGGGCCTAGTAGGAAACCAACACAGATACAGGGAAAACATGCAAAGTCCATGCAGATAGTGCCCTAGTCTGGATTCAAACCAAGGACCCTAGTTATGCAAGCCAGAAGTGCTAACCACCAAACCACTGTGCTGCCCCATTAATTGGCAATGGTAGAGAACATGATAATCTAATGTAACATGTGCCCTGTCTCTACCTGTCTCTTGCAGCATATCTCCAGTCTTCAACCGAACCTGTAGCATGTCCTAAATCTTTGACGATCTCCTGTTGTATGTTAACAGTTTTGGCTAACGTGTGGCTTTAACTCCAGGCTATCACTAGACATCAAAGCCTATTATAATGGCTTAAAACATGCAAAAAGTGTGCTTATACCACGTGTCCTGTTCATAGGAAAATCCATCCAAACCCATTGCTAGGAATTAGCCCTTTGTTTTAATACAACTCGTGTATAAATTCTCCTCTCCAGTTTTTGATTTTGTTGGGTGGTAAGCTTTCACACATTGCTATTATCTGACAGTTTTATATCAAGTTTTTATGCCTGGATTCTCCCTGCAGGTGGCTGTCAGTTGGGCATCACTGCCAAAGGAGAGCGCTTGAAACACTGGTATGAGTGCCTGAAGAACAAAGATAAGAAGATTGAGCGCTGGCATGTTCTACAGAATGAAAACCATGTATCAAGTGATTAAATGACAGCTGCCGTGTCCCTCAACTGTTCACGCTCTGTACCAACTCACTGTAAACTTTTTATGTCTTGTCTTCCAAAGCATTCATACTTTTAGCTTTTAGAGATAGAGAAATAATAGTTGCTCCTAGTATATTCTTTATTAGATATAAATACTGCTTTTTTGTTTGCCCTCAGAACAAATGCTGTTCGATTAATTTTAATGATACATACATGTGTTTGTTCTTCAGCCTTCCCTTTTATGCTTACCAAACATGTTCATTGGCACTCACTTAGAAAATGGGGGTAAAGGAATTTCCTTTGCTTCTGTTTTTATATGTGAGTGCCTTTGCTCTACAGCTAACTGTGAAAAACTTGTGCAGCCTATCATATTACATTCACTATCTAAGCACTGCTAGGGCAATGACAGTTTACAGTGCAATGCAACAGGTTGTTATAGACAGCATCACACTGTTAACAGTTACCTGTAGAGCACTTTGAAAATGTCCACCATAGTTAAAACAAACATACACATATATTGCCACCACTAATCAACAAGCAGATATAATATATATGTAAACTGGACTTTTTTTTTTTTTAAACCTTTACTATGGCACAAAGTTTTTGCACATTTGTTCATGGTAAATGCACTTCTTGTCTTGCTGTATGGAAAAACTGTTACTGTATATCTGACAGGTATGGGTTTCCACCATATATTTTAATGCTACAAATTACCTATTCCAGAGCACAAAACAACACTTTCTATTTTTTCTATGGTTAATCACTGCCTGTTTAAATAAAACCATATGGTATAAACATACAAACATGGTGGAATTGACATTTTGCAGTACACCTTGATGATCAACTATTTCAAAAGCAGAAAATCTAAATGCAATGATACGTTTTCATGTTACTGACGTGTAGACCCAGTGATACATCCAATTAAAGGAAACCCTACATTGAAAAAAAAAATGGATCTGTGAATAAGGCCCATTATTGTAGAACCACAGTGGGTTGCTCCTGCCTTGCCACCAGTGTGTTATGCTCCTATTACTTCTCCAGCAGCCATTCCATCATAAAACAATGGTATTGCCATTAGTAGCAGTGCTTTCACGTTGATGGCATTTGTTCTCCATAAGGATGTAAACTGGTGTCAGGAACACCTTTATAACTTTTCTGGAATAATAGAAATGCCTTTTTTTTTATAAGGGACTTTGTTTCCTAGTGGCAATGTCTTAATTAACAAAATAACCTAAATTTGCCTTAATATAAATTTGAGAATAAAAAAAACATAGCGTTTTTATAAATAATTTGGGCCTATTGTCACCTATGTGACTGCAAACCATCTGAAATGGGTTTGTGGATCTCCAGTGGACAATGGACCAGTGGCTGGGAAAAACTGATCTGTACTATAGAAAGAGACATGCCCTTCTGTTCTTTATAGGAATAATGTGGGTAAAACCATAACACCTGAACATCTGGTCTGTTTTTAGAATAGTGCGAAAACTCTTTGTGTTGTTAATGTAATGTAAGTTATTCAAGATTCCTGAATTCAAAGCCAACCTACAGTATACTCAGATGTTAACTAAAAGGTACACTATAATTTCTGCTAGGATGATAGATAAAGTATACTCAAATAGCTGAAATATCTTTGAAGTAGGAAATGGTACTCCAGGTCTTCTTTAAATTTTGCCCAAGTACTTACAGTCATCATATTTTTAAACAGCTGACCTCAGCTCTCTTAGCCTAGCTTCCCTGAACTTCATTGTCCAGTACTTTTAAACATCCTCATTCATTGTAAATGGTTTAATCAGCATTTGAAATAGCTTCAAAGCCTTTTGACTTCAATATCACTTTACCATGATCTCTGCTAAAGAGCAAAATCAGCCTGTTCTGAACTTCTACTTCAGCAGAGATCCTACGACCAAATGCATAGGCTTTGTCATGTGATGTTTTAGAGGAAGCCTGGATTAGCATTTTCTGCAGGAAATGTTAGTATTTTAGCTCTTCCGTTACTTTTTATTTATAGAACACAGCAATTTATCATTTCAGTATAAGTCGATTTTAATTTAGCTATGATGCCCATTTATGTTTAGGTATTCCTTAACAATGACATAGTATAGCCTAATTAAAGCCTCAGTGAAAATGACTGAAAGACACTTATCCGGCAGTTAATTGATAAGTGATGCGTGTCTTACCATTGGTTTGTGTGTTCAAAATGTTTCAACTCCCTTAAAATATCCAATATTCAAAAGGTAAAATTTGATGTATTTAGCATTTCACTACATGCTAAACGTCACTCAGTAATTTGCACAGAGCCTTTATTAGGATGTGTGTACCCAAAATCCTATATTTTATGTTTGGGACCTGTCTTCATCAGATATAATATTTGTATTTTTATATGGACATTTTAGGTTCCAAGAACAGTCTGTGATAGAATAAAAAAAAATCTGGATCATTTCTAAAGGGACACAATAATAGCACATGTAAAAATAATATAGAATTATTAGATTTAAAAATTAACCAACAACTATATTAGACTGTAGTAATTTTAGTCTAGAGAGTAAATCTTAAAATGATTGACCTGTAGTAGCAGTATTTTTGGACCAATATTTTTACAATTTATCATAGATTGCTTTCTATAAGTGAACAGTTCTAATCATTCCAAGATAAAGTTAAAGGGTTAGTCTACCTAATACTGAGATGTAATTGTTTTTATGGTAGATTCTGGCTAGAGGATGTCAATCTACGGTATAACTGAAATATCAGCTGGGTGGACTGCCCCTTTAATTTGTAACTAAGTAAAATATTTATTGTATTCCTAGTGATTGGTGCAACACAACCCAAGATTTAATTTTACTCAAATATATGGCATTTTACTGTTATATAGTGTTTGGTAACACAGAGATAAATTATTTAATGTGTATTTACAATAGTAAGTAGGTTTATAGTGATGAGGTGAGAGAAACACATGGTAAAACCCTTTGCTGATGATGTATATACTGAGACACATTTAGGGCAGCAATGCTATTTCCTACCATGTGATTGACTAATGCAGGTGTCATACCATTGTTCCACTGTAATGTACAAGTATACTAGATATTCATTGCCAGGCTTCCTTTCATTTAGACATTATATATATATATATATATATATATATATAATCATTAGACAATGTATGAAAGTGAAGTAACACATTGATTAAGTCATAATTTGTCTGAGAATGGCATATCTGTTACTATGAAATTCTCAGAAATTACAAGTATAACTCTCTATTTTCTTTTCTTTACTCATTTGAAATAATTGAAAAGCCTTAATCAGTAAGTCCTGTCTATCAGCAGGTTACTAGGCTGATGTCACAGCAAAGTATAATTGCATTATGTTTATATTTAATTATTAGAGAGTGCCTAAGTGTGGCTATCAGGGGTGAGGACAAGTGTTTCTTGGCTCTAAAGTCTAAAAGCTACCCACAGATGAACCTTTGTGGTCACCAGATCATTGGTGTTCTTTAAGAGTAGCATTTGCCACACATTTTTATTGTGCCAAACCATTATCCTGCCAACATCAAAATTATTAACAAATATAGCCGTTTTGAGAAATTTCCAATAGTGGTGACCTAAAACCATCACAATAGACTAGTGATAGGAGATAATAACATAAGAATTTCAGGATTGTTGTCCATTAAAATGTCAGTCCCCCAATACTGATATTTCAGTTATGCAAAGACTAAATATCTCAAGAGCTCCAGCAGCAATAATTCCAAAAGCTCCCAATTTTGTCGCCTCTGCATAGAGTCTTACCATTCCCATTCACTGTCATGTAAAGGCATGGGGTATATCAATAAAGCATTGAATGTGACATTTACCAAGCATTCACTGCAGGTGAATTAATCACAGTAAGTTAAAACACATTACCCAGAGGTTTTACCTGCAGTGAACGTTTGGTGAATGTCACATTCCTTGCTTTATGAATATACCATATCGAGTAGGGCTACTTTACAGTGGTCATGGCAGGTGGAGAGAACTTTAGATGTGGTCATCTGTTTTCAATGTCCTTGACATACATAAGAAGTGGGCATTTGACTTGTAAACATCTACTGAAACGTTCATTTTGGATGACTTAAATACAGCATTTGGACCATTTATGAAATGGGCATTTCACTTCATGCTGTTTTTACTTTGAAGCTATCTATATGATGCTTCTGGTTCTCTCTTCTGCATGGAGATTTAACACTTTACATTTTTCTTAACTTTGTACTTGAAGTCTAGCTATCTGCTTTCCTAACTAAGACTGGGACTATCTGCTTGCAAGTAGTTGCAGAAGCACAATGCTAGGTATAACTTTAGTCTTTCAGTATTGCCAACTTGTGCATGCCTCCATCTTCTTCTGTAGAAATGTGTCTATATACAAGCAGAACATTTACGTTGTATTGCCAGAGGAAGGTATCTTCCTCAACACATTTTACAGGGTATGAGAGCATTTAGCAATATAATTGTTAGCATTCTCATATTCTAATCTGTTCAGAGTGGTCCTCTTTGTACTGTTTAGACGTTTAATACACAGGTTATCTGAAAGGAACGCCTGTCTGTTTTACTCGGGGACTTTTCTATCTTTTTTATCAACAGAGGTAGATTTCAACAAAGCCTGTAATGTGGTATGTGAAGGTGCACAAGCAGAAATTTTATGGGATCTTTATTTTCATGCCAGGGCCTTGCTGGAGCTGCGCGGGGGAAATTATGATGTGTGCCATACTTTGTTTGTCACATTCAGCTTTACATGTATAGACCTAGAGAAAAGCTTAGAAACAAAATATCTGAGTTGCCATATTTGCTTAGTGAATGTCTGGAATCCCAATGCAGTGTGTTCAGAGACTAAATGTAGTTATTGCCATCATACCTAATGACAAAATAAAATCATGCAGTAGCAGAAAGCTTGTGCGGTGGGAATTACAGCAGTAAAACAAATGCTCGCCATGGGGACTATTTATATAACCGTATCATTTTTCCCATGGCGTAAATATGAAACCTGATTGGTCATAAAAGGCTAGTTCTCCACTTTTCCACACTGTTTTTACAGTTAATTTGCATTTCTTTTGGATTCTTCAGGAGAAGAGTAAAGCTCTTTTTGCTTACAGATACAATATTTCACAATATTTCCAAATGACCAACTGCAAGCAGCAAATGGAGCTCTACGCAAGGCTTAGATAACATTTCAAGTGCCAGAGAGCATCTGCTAACCAGAGAACTGAATGCATCAGAGGAGGGACATATCAAAGTAATCGG